TTCATGCTGCTAATAAAGACCCATCCCCTAGAATGGGCAATTTACAAAAGAAACAGGTTTAATTGGACTTATAGTTCCACGTGGCTGGGAAAGCCTCACAATCATGGCTGAAGGCAAGGAGGGGCAAGTCATGTCTTACATGGATGGCAGCAGGCAAAGACAGAATGAGGAAGGCACAAAAGCAGAAACCCCTGGTAAAACCATCATATCTCATGAGACTTATTGACTATCATGAGATCAGTATGGGGAAAACTGCCCACATGATTCAATTATCTCCCACCAGGCCCCTCGCACAATATGTGGGAATTACGGGAGTACAATTCAAGATTAGATTTGGGTGGGGACGCAGAGTGAAACCATATCATTCCAATCCTGGCCCCTCTAAATCTCATGTCCTCACGTTTCAAAACTAACCACACCTTCCCAACAGTCCCCCAAAGTCTTAAGTCATTTCAGCATTAACCCAAACGTCCACAGCCCAGTGTCTCATCTGAGACAAGCCAAGTCCCTTCAGCCTATAAGCCTTACAGTTTCATGTGGCTGGAGAAGGCTCACAATCATCAAAAGCAAGCTAGTTACTTCCTAGATACAATGGGGTACAGGTATTGGGTAAATAGAGCCATCCCAAACAGGAAGCATTGGCCAAAACAAAGGGGCTACAGGCCCCATGCAAGTCTGAAATCCAATGTGGTGTTCAAATCTTAAAGCTCCAAAACGATCTCCCTTGACACCAAGTCTCATATCCAGGTCACACTGATGCAAGAGGTGGGTTCCCATGGTCACCGGCAGCTCTGTCCCTGTGGCTTTGCAGGATACAGCCTACCTCCTGGCTGCTTTCACAGGCTGGTGTTGTCTGCAGCTTTTCTGGGCTCACAGTGCAAGCTGTAGGTGGATTTACCATTCTGGGGTCTAGAGGGTGGAGGCTCTCTTCTCAACTCCAATAGGCAGTGCCCCCAGTAGGAACTCTGACCCCACATTTCCCTTCTGCACTGCCCTAGCAGAGGTTCTCCAAGGGGGCCTTGCCCCTGCAAAAACTTCTGCCTTGGCATCCAGGTGTTCCCATACATCTTCTGAAATCTAGACGGAAGTTCCCAAACTTCAGTTCTTGACTTCTGTGCATCTGCAGGCTCAGCATCATGTGGAAGCTACCAAGGCTTGAGGCTTGCACCATCTGAAGCCATGGCATGAGCTCTACATTGGCCCCTTTCAGCTATGGCTGGAGCAGCTGGGATGCAGGCCACCAAGTCCCTAGGCTGCACATAGCACAGGGACCCCGGGCCCAACCCATGAAACCACATTTTCCTCCTAGGTCTCTGGGCCTGTGATGGGAGGGGCTGCAGTGAAGACCTCTGACGTGTGCTAAAGACATTTTCCCCATTGTCTTGGCAATTACCATTTGGCTCCTCATTACTTAAACAAATTTCTGCAGCCAGCTTGAATTTCTCCTCAGAAAATGGGATTTTCTTTTCTATCACATTGTCAGGCTGTACATTTTCCAAACGTTTATGCTCCGTTTCCCTTTTAAAACTGAATGCTTTTCATAGCACCCAAATCACCTCTTGAATGCTTTGCTGCTTAGAAATTTCTTCCACCAGAACCCTAAATCACATCTCTCAAGTTCAAAGTTCCACAAATCTCTAGGGCAGGGGAAAAATGCCACCAGTCTCTCTGCTAAAACATAACAAAAGTGACCTTTGCTCCAGTTCCTAAAAAGTTCCTCATCTCCATCTGAGACCACCTCAGCTTGAACCTTATTGTCCATATTACTATCAGCATTTTGGGCAAAGCCATTCAACAGGTCTCTAGAAACTTCCAAACCTTCCCACATTTTCCTGTCCTCTGAGCCCTACAAACTGTTCCAACCCCTGCCTGTTATCCAGTTCCAAAGTCACTTCCACATTTTTGGGTATTTTTGCGGCAGCACCCCACTCTACTGGTACCAATTTGCTGTATTAGTTTGCTTTTGTGCTGCTGATAAAGATACACCTAAGACTGGGCAATTTACAGAAGAAAGAGGTTTAACTGGACTTATAGTTCCATGTGGCTGGGGAAGCCTCACAATCATGGTGGAAGGCAAGGAGAGCAAGAGCCGGCTTACATGGATGGCAGCAGGCGAAGACATAATGAGAAGGTGCAAAAGCAGAAACCCCTGATAAGACCATCAGATCTCACGAGACTTATTCACTACAACCACAGCAGCATGGGGGAACTGCCCCCATGATTTCATTGTCTCCCACTGTCCCTCCCCCAACACGTATGATTCAAGATGAGATTCGGGTGAGGACATGGCCAAACCATATCAACCAATGAGAGAAAAAAGAAACCGTGGTATATATTCACCATGAAATACTACTCAGCCACAGAAAAGAACAAAATATTGTATTTTGTAGCAACTTGGGAGAAGCTGGAGGCCACCATTTTAAGTGAATTAACTCAGAAATGAAAGTCCTAATACCTTTTTCTAAAATATATACTTTAAGTTCTGGGGTACATGGGCAGAATGTGCCGGTTTGTTACGTAGGTGTACACATGCCATGGTGGTTTGCTGCATCCATTGCCCCATCATCTACATTAGGAATTTCTCCTAATGCCATCCCTCCCGTATCTCCCACCCCTTGCTACCTCCCCTAGCCCCCTAGCCCCCGACAGCCCCAGTGTGTGATGTTCCCCTCCCTACGTCCATGTGTTCTCATTGTTCAACACCCACTTATGAGTGAGAACATGCGGTGTTTGGAAAAACCTAATACTTTATGTTCTTACTTCTAAGTGTGAGCTAAGCTGAGAGTACACAGAGGAGACTCACAAGGGGAGCGTGGGAGGTGGGTGAGGGGTGAAAAATGACACACTGGCTACAATGTGTGGACTCAGGTGGCAGGTGCGCTAAAATCTTAGACTTACCATAGACTTAGACACTACTCTACAATTCACTCGCGTAACCAAAAGCCACTTGTACCACAAAAGCTACTGAAATAAAAAATAAATAAATAACAGATTAAAAAGGGTGCACCTGTATAGGGCCTTGCCGTGACTGGAGCTACCCTGAGCGGCTCACTGAGCAAGACGTGGGTGAAGGTGAAGATCCAGGGCATGACCGTCACGCTGCAGACTTTATAAACACTAGACACTCAGGCTACACCAAATTTATGTTTGAAAACACACAGTCCTTTACTGCAACTTTGTTACTTTATATACTTTTTTCAAACTCTATGCTAATATCACTTAGCTCAAAACACAAATACATTGTACAGCTGTACAAAAGTATTTTATTTCTTTATATTCTCACTCTACATGCTTTCTTCTATTTTGAACTTTTTCTTACTTTTTAAACCTTTTGTTAAAAACTAGGACATAAACACACACTGTGGCCTCAGCCTGCATGGAGTCAGGATCGTCAACATCACCGTCTTCCCTCCACATCTTGTCCTACTGGAAAATCTCCAGGGGCAGGAACACACACAGAGCCGTAATCTCCTGTGATAACAATGTCTTGGCTGGGCGTGGTGGCTCACACCTGTCATCCCAGCAATTTGGGAGGCCAAGGCAGGTGGATCACTTGAGGTCAGGAGTTCAAGACAAACCTAGGCAACATGGTGAAAACCTGTCTCTACTAAAAATACAAAAATTAGCCAGGCACAGTGGTACATGTCTGTAGTCCCAGCTACTCAGGAGGCTGAAGCAGGAGAATGGCTTGAACCCTGGAGGCAGAGGTTGCAGTGAGCCAAGACTGCACCATTGTACTCTAGCTTGGGTGACAGACAAACAAACAAACAAACAAAAAATTAGCTGGGCATGGTGGCGCTCACCTGTAAACCCAGCTACTCAGCAGGCTGAGGCAAGAGAATCACTTGAACCCAGGGGTGGGGTGGTGGGGAGTGGAGGTTGCAGTGAGCGGAGATCGTGCCACTACACTCCGCCTGGATGACACAGCAAGATGCTGTCTTTAAAAAAAAGAAAAAGGCTTCTTCTGGACACCTCCTGCAGGAACTGCCTGAGGCTGCTTTACAGTTGACTTTTTTATAAGTAGAAGAAATTTACTCTAAAATCATGATAAAAAGTAGTAAGTCAAATAATAAACAAAAAGAATTTTTCAGCTCCATCATAACCTTATGCCAGCAGCAATGTGATATGGCCAGCAATGGCAAGATGTCATTATGTGCAACCCGACTGCTCATACAGATTCGCATCACTAATTTGAAATCACGATTGTCAATAAACCTGCCCATAAGTTTTATTATTGCACGAAACAATAAACAACAAATATTGTTATATCATGAATTTCTAAATATGTCGATAATTATATGTCAATATAACTGGTTTCCTTCATAATCCTATATATTTCATTTTATGCATTTAAAAGTCTTCTTAAAAAGTGTCCAGAGGTGTTTATTGCCAAATTTTCAATGGTACAATGACAGTAACAAGGTTAAGAATTCTTATCCTAAAAGATTTGTAAATATTTTCCTGATAAAACTAAGGTGGTTTCTAACTTTTATAAAAGGCATTCTCAAAGTCTACCAAAGCATCTAAAATATGCATGATGTGAAATGAGAAGTAATTTACTTAATGATAGTATAACTAAGTAAATGCCCTCCCAACTGTGACCTTAGAGGTAGGAAAAGTAGCGTCAGGTACCGCTGATCCTGCGTACAGGGGTGCTCGGCGCCTGGTGGGTGGCACCCAACGGAGATGGGAACACGCGTGGGAGAGAGAGCAGTCATCACACCATAGGGTAACTGTGGTTTAGGAGCTTCCAACCAATGCCTCCGTCAACATCACTGACGCTCAGGAGAGGCCTGGGATTACTCTAAGCCACATGTAGCAGAGAGACCAATAGTGCTTCACCATTCCAAAGGCAGAGCTACCTTTTGGTGTATAAACCACTCTTAGATCAGTCAGTGTGCACAGAATAACAACCTCATCACATTCAGAAAAGGGAGACGACTGCACTTACAGCTCTTGAGCTCCCCACCCCTGCAATGCAGGGCACACAACAGCCTTACCTCAGGGTTCTCAGGTCCCACAGTCTCATCCCATCGCCAATGGCCGTGGTCAGGAAAAGATTATAAGCCTGAGGCTGCTGGGTCGTAAATGATGAACCCTATAATTGTAAGGGGGAAATCAAGATGTATTTTCAAAGGTTAAATTAATAAGCATTATGCTAATGACACCTCATAATTGCTGATTCTCAAGTAAGATATTAACACAATTTTTTTTTCTTATTTATAACACTTTCAGAATTGGACAGCAAAAACTTGTACATAAAATAGTTAATGAGGGTATATTCTGACCTAGAGAATTACTGATGTATGTTCTCTTTATGTGTAATGGCACTGACAGGTACGGAAGTACAAAATAGTCAAAGACCAAAAGACCAAGATAATAACACGCCAAAATTTATGTTTAGAATAAAGACCATGAGCCACGTTCAGTAAATCATCTGAAACATGCCCCTCAACAAGGCACTTAAAGTGAAGGTGACTTATTAATCTGCCAATTATCAACCCTTCAGATACACCGAGCAGGGTCCTGCGATGGTGAGGCAGGTGAGCTCCCTCCGGGCCTCAAGTCCCGGCCCTAACTCTGACTTGCTCCCCTTTCCCTGTGCGGCTATCCAAACTAAGCGGACCTGACTCCATCTACAGAACCATTTGGCACAACACATTACCTAAAAACATTGTGATAAATAATGATTTACATCCTATTAGGTCAAAAATATTCAAAATATTAAGACAACTTTCATGAAGGATATCCAAACCATTTATGCTTAGGATGTGCCTAGACGTCATCCTTCATTTGCAAACAGAAAATAAAAGCTTACTAAGTTCAATAATAACAAATTAATAATAATTCGAGGCCGGGTGCAGCGGCTCACGCCTGTAATCCCAACACTTTGGGAAGCTGAGGTGGGCAGATTACCTGAAGTCAGGAGTTTGAGACCAGCCTGGCCAACATGGTGAAACCCCATCTACGTAAAAATACAAAAAATTAGCCAGATGTAGTGGTGCGTGCCTGTAATCCCAGCTACTCGGGAGGCTGAGGCAGGACAAGTGCTTCAACCCGGGAGGCAAAGGTTGCAGTAGCCAAGATCACGCCACTGCACTCCAGCTTGGGCAAAAGAGTGAGACTCTGCCTCAAAAAAAAAAAAAAAAGAAAAGAAAAAGAAAGCTGTAATACATATTTTAAAATAATAGTAATTTACACTAATAATTCAGCAGGCATTTAACAAATATTACAGATCATTTACTGAATGCTGGTGTTATATGAGATACTCAGCATAGAAAAAAGAAAACGTAGACTTAGTCTAAGGAAGACAGAGAACACGGCAGCACTGAGAGCACCTTACACAGTGGCTACCATATGGAGGCTACAGTAAAAACCTGAGCAGGACGGAAATAACATGCAATGGCCAAACCTTTCAAGAGTAAAGGTAAACTTTTTAAAAATGTGTTCGATCCAGTAGAGGGTGAGAAAGAAGAAATAAAGAACCAAAGAAAATTCATGACAAGTAGAAAGCAAAGAAATAAAAAGTGTGTAAGAGAAAGCACGAATGATATTGAATATACGAATAATCATAATTTCAAACAGACTGACCTCAACAATATTGGGCTGGATTTCATTATTATCATTATTGTTATTATTTCGCTTTCATTTTAGGTTCGGGGGTACACGTGCGGGTTTGTTATCACTATTGTTATTTAGCTTTCATTTTAGGTTCGGGGGTACACGTGCAGGTTTGATATCACTATTGTTATTTCGCTTTTATTCTAGGTTCGGGGGTACACGTGCGGGTTTGTTATCACTATTGTTATTATTTCGCTTTTATTCTAGGTTCGGGGGTACACGTGCAGGTTTGATATCACTATTGTTATTTCGCTTTTATTCTAGGTTCGGGGGTACACGTGCGGGTTTGTTATCACTATTGTTATTATTTCGCTTTTATTCTAGGTTCGGGGGTACACGTGCAGGTTTGATATCACTATTGTTATTTCGCTTTTATTCTAGGTTCAGGGGTACACGTGCGGGTTTGTTATCACTATTGTTATTATTTCGCTTTTATTCTAGGTTCAGGGGTACACGTGCGGGTTTGTTATCACTATTGTTATTTCGCTTTTATTCTAGGTTCAGGGGTACACGTGCGGGTTTGTTATCACTATTGTTATTATTTCGCTTTTATTCTAGGTTCGGGGGTACACGTGCGGGTTTATCACTATTGTTATTTCGCTTTTATTCTAGGTTCGGGGGTACACGTGCGGGTTTGTTATCACTATTGTTATTATTTAGCTTTTATTCTAGGTTCGGGGGTACACGTGCAGGTTTGATATCACTATTGTTATTTCGCTTTTATTCTAGGTTCAGGGGTACACGTGCGGGTTTGTTATCACTATTGTTATTATTTCGCTTTTATTCTAGGTTCGGGGGTACACGTGCGGGTTTATCACTATTGTTATTTAGCTTTTATTCTAGGTTCGGGGGTACACGTGCAGGTTTGATATCACTATTGTTATTTATCTTTTATTCTAGGTTCGGGGGTACACGTGCGGGTTTGTTATCACTATTGTTATTTAGCTTTTATTCTAGGTTCGGGGGTACACGTGCGGGTTTGTTATCACTATTGTTATTATTTCGCTTTTATTCTAGGTTCGGGGGTACACGTGCGGGTTTGTTATCACTATTGTTATTTAGCTTTTATTCTAGGTTCGGGGGTACACGTGCGGGTTTGTTATCACTATTGTTATTTAGCTTTTATTCTAGGTTCGGGGGTACACGTGCGGGTTTGTTATCACTATTGTTATTTAGCTTTTATTCTAGGTTCGGGGGTACACGTGCGGGTTTATCACTATTGTTATTTAGCTTTTATTCTAGGTTCGGGGGTACACGTGCAGGTTTGATATCACTATTGTTATTTCGCTTTTATTCTAGGTTCGGGGGTACACGTGCGGGTTTGTTATCACTATTGTTATTTAGCTTTTATTCTAGGTTCGGGGGTACACGTGCGGGTTTGTTATCACTATTGTTATTATTTCGCTTTTATTCTAGGTTCGGGGGTACACGTGCGGGTTTGTTATCACTATTGTTATTTAGCTTTTATTCTAGGTTCGGGGGTACACGTGCGGGTTTGTTATCACTATTGTTATTTAGCTTTTATTCTAGGTTCGGGGGTACACGTGCGGGTTTGTTATCACTATTGTTATTATTTCGCTTTTATTCTAGGTTCGGGGGTACACGTGCGGGTTTGTTATCACTATTGTTATTATTTCGCTTTTATTCTAGGTTCAGGGGTACACGTGCGGGTTTATCACTATTGTTATTTAGCTTTTATTCTAGGTTCGGGGGTACACGTGCAGGTTTGATATCACTATTGTTATTTCGCTTTTATTCTAGGTTCGGGGGTACACGTGCGGGTTTGTTATCACTATTGTTATTTCGCTTTTATTCTAGGTTCGGGGGTACACGTGCGGGTTTGTTATCACTATTGTTATTTCGCTTTTTTTCTAGGTTCAGGGGTACACGTGCAGGTTTGTTATCACTATTGTTATTATTTCGCTTTCATTTTAGGTTTGGGGGTACACGTGCGGGTTTGTTATCACTATTGTTATTATTTCGCTTTCATTTTAGGTTTGGGGGTACACGTGCGGGTTTGTTGTCACTATTGTTATTATTTAGCTTTTATTCTAGGTTCGGGGGTACACGTGCGGGTTTGTTATCACTATTGTTATTATTTAGCTTTTATTCTAGGTTCGGGGGTACACGTGCGGGTTTGTTATCACTATTGTTATTTCGCTTTTATTCTAGGTTCGGGGGTACACGTGCGGGTTTGTTATCACTATTGTTATTTCGCTTTTATTCTAGGTTCGGGGGTACACGTGCGGGTTTGTTATCACTATTGTTATTATTTAGCTTTTATTTTAGGTTCAGGGGTACACGTGCAGGTTTGTTATATAGGTAAACTTGTGTCACAGGGGTTTGTTGTACAGATGATGTCATCACCCAGACACTAAGCCTGGTACCAATAACTACTTTTCCTGCTCCTCTCCCTGCTCCCATCCTCTAGCCTCAGGCAGACCTCAGTGCCTGTTGTTCCCTTCTTTGGTTCATGAGTTCTCACCATATAGCTCAAAATAGCATAGTATTGATAATAAAGCCACATACCTACAACCATCTGATCTTAACAGGGCTGACAAAAACAAGCAATGGGGAATGGACTCCCTGTTCAATAAATGGTGCTGAGATGACTGACTAACCTTGTGCAGAAGATTGAAATTGGACTCCCTCCTTACACCATACACAAAAATCAACTGAAGATGGATTAAAGACTTAAATGTAAAACCCGAAACTATAAAAACCCTGGAAGGCAACCTAGGCAATACCATCCTGGACACAGGAACTGGCAAAGATTTCACGACAAAGACATCAAAAGCAAAAGCAAAAATTGACAAGTGGGATCTAATTAAACTTTAGGGCTTCTGCACAGTAAAACAAAGTCTAAACAGGGTAAACAGACAACCTACAGTAAAACAAAGTATATATAAAACAGGGTAAACAGACAACCTACAGAATGGGAGAAAATATTCCCAAATTATGCATCTAACAAAGGTCTGATATTCAGCATCTATAAGAAACTTAGATTTTAAGAAAAATACTGAAAACTTAATTTTAAAACAAGTTGAAAGTGAAAGGTGGGGATCAAACAGCACACGTGAACTATAAAGAGGGAAGATTATGTAAGCACTAGAGAAAAACAGAACAAGGTAAAGAAACCCTCATGAGAAACAGTTTCTTCAAGAAAATGATAAAAGAAATAACTGCACATGAAAATATAAGACTGAACTTAAATATGCCTGATAGTGTGTCCTTCAAATACATAAAGCAAAAGTCAACAGACTTATACGAAGAAACTGACACGATTACAACAACAGCGGTAGATTTCAACACATCTCTCAGTGATTAAAAAAACCAAGCAACAAGAAAATAGAAAGCCTTGAACAATTTAAACACAATTAACAAGTGTGAGTCAAAGAATATCTGTGCAAACATGTACCCAATAGACAGCAAAACCACATTTTTCTCACACACCTATGTAATATTTAAAACAAACCA